ATAAAATCTTTAAAAAAATAATAATAAACAAATAAATAAATAAAACATTTATTATTTCACAGTTTCCTTGGGTCGGGAATTCAGGAATGGTTCAGCTCACTGGTTCTGGCTTAGGGTCTTTTACAAAGTTGCTGTCAGGATGTTGGCTGGAGCTTCAGTCATGTGAGATCTTGACTGGCTCTGGGGGCTGAGCTTTGGAGCTCACTCATGTGACTGTTGATAGGAGGCTTTAGCTCCTTGCCATGTGAGCCTCTCCATAGGACCTCTTGAGTGTCTTCACACATTGCATCTAGCTTCTCTGAGAGAGAGTGCCAACAGGAAGCCACACGGCCTTTTATGATTTACTTTTGGAGGTTGTATACCATTGCTTCTGCTTTATTCTTCAAGAAGTAAGTCACTAAATCTAGCCCATACTCAAGGAAAGGGGAATTAATTTTTACCTTTTGAAGAGGGTGTCACAGACTTTGTGAAAGTATATTTTTTTGGTAAGACTATTTAGCACACATGCACATGCAAGTAGGGGGAGGGGAAGAGGGGAAGGAAGAATATCAAGCTGACTCCAGGATGAGCGCAGGGCTTGATCTCACTAACCCAAGCTGAAACCAAGAGTCCAACGTTCAACTGACTGAGCCACCCAGGCGCCCCTAATTGAATATTGTAATAAAATTTTGGTATTAGTAGACCCTGGTCTCTTATATGCGTATGATAGAAAAGTTTTCCTCCAGGCATGGGAATGGGCTTGTGTGTTTCTGGTGGATTGCTGTTTACTCGAAGGAAATTTATCTCTGTATTATATGAAAGGCAGCAGAATTGGGCAGATGAAATAACTCCAGTTTACAAGTTTACTGACAGAAAGTAATTTTGCCGAGAACAGTACATTTGATCAGTAACAGTTATATGTACTATATAATAAACTAAGTTTTCAACATTTCTTCTTAAATTAGATTCTGCTCATACAGAGTTGATGATAGTTTCTACAAGAAATGCACCAAAAGTTTCTTTTTCTCTCTGAAAGATTTGTTAAATAAAGATGTGGCACTCCTGTTTTAAACATACGGAGTGCACAGACCTGTGACACTTTATAGGTCTTCCCTCTTTTTCTACATTATAAACTCCTTGAAGGCAGATTTAGTTTCCTATTTATCATTTAACCCAAACAACCTAGCCTAGAGCCTTGCACTTGGTAAGTTCTTGGTGAGATTTGGTGCACTAATGCTAATTATAATATAGCATTAAAGTTTTTCCATATATTTAGAATTGTATGAACACAAGATCAAAAATTACTGTTGCTTCTAATGACAGTATTTCCCCTAGTATGTGGTTTTGATTTAGTGTTACAATTTATAAAAATCTCTTTGTTGTAACCCCATTGGTTAGGGTGGAGTAATCTGAACTAGAGATAAAATTCAAATCCACTTTTTTCTTTCTTTTGTGTACAGAGTTTATAAGTAAAGAATAACTTTAAGTCTCTTTTTTTTTTTTTTAAGATTTTATTTATTTATTTGACAGAGAGATAGAGAGACAGCACAAGTAGGCGGAGTGGCAGGCAGAGGGAGAGGCAGAAGCAGGCTTCCCCCCGAGCAGGGAGCCCGATGTGGGGCTCGATCCCAGGACCCTGGGATCATGACCTGAGCCGAAGGCAGCCGCTTAGCCGACTGAGCCACCCAGGCGCCCCACTTTAAGTCTTTTCTAAATCTGCCTAAATAGATGGTTAAGAATTAGCCCATTAATTATATTTTCTCACAGTACTTAGAAGATTACCCTAATCATCTTTTATTCCATTAACTTAAATTCTAAAAGTAATGTAAGAGTAAACTTCACCCTGAGACTTTTGTTTTCAGATTCCAAAATCAGTGCAAATATAAAAAGACGTATTCTTGTCTTTAAAAATGAAAATCTGAATTGGCAAAAACATTACACCACTCATTTTAAGAATAAATTGTCTTCTGCTTTACATTGTTATAGCTGCTTGATACAGTCTTTCAGTTTGTCCACATTGTACATCAAAAAGCATTTCCTGGGGGTGCCTGGCTGGCTCAGTTGGTAGAGCACGCGGCTCTTGATCTCAGAGTTGTAAGTTCGAGCCCCATGTTGGGTGTGGAGATTAGTTAAAGATAAAATCTTTAAAAAAAAAATCATTTCATGCTTTTGCTTCCATTACGTAGTTCATCCATCTAGCAGTAGGTATGACATAAACATGTATAATTCCTGTTTTTTCAGTCCTCTGCACATTGTGGGGTTTTAAAATTTTTTTGCATATAGTTGACACACAATGCTCCATTAGTTTCAGGCGTACAACAGCGATTCGTGATCTCTGTACCTTCTGCTGTGCTCACCACAGTGTAGCTGCCATCTGTCACCATACAGTGCTGTTCCAGTCTGGCTGACTGTGCTCTCTGCGCCAGGCTTCAGTCCCCTCCATTTGGGGTGGAAGAAGGGCTAGTGATTTCTTTGTGATTTTTGTCATTGTAACAACTGTCCTCCATTCTAGTTCTTTCTCTTTTTTTCAGTGTGGTTTTTTTTTTCTTGTTCTTTTAGATACATTTGAGATGGTTTCTGAGGATGAAGATGGGAAATTGGGTTTTAAAGTAAATTACCACTACATGTCTCAGGTGAAAAATGCAAATGATGCAAATAGTGCTGCCCGCGCCCGCCGCCTTGCCCAGGAAGCCGTGACGCTGTCCACCTCACTGCCTCTTTCATCCTCTTCGAGTGTGTTCGTGCGCTGTGATGAGGAACGACTTGACATCATGAAGGTAGAAAAAACAACTATTTCTCTGTCTCTCTGGCTAATGTCATTATTTAAATACTCATACAGAGCACTAGAAATAGCATGAATTTTAATAAAATTCTTTTGACCATTTTGGACATTAGTGAAACGAGTCCTTTTGTTAATGTTAGAGTATGTGTATGAGACTGCTTTTCAAAATAACTAGAAGAAAATACCAAAATGCCTTCCTTGAGTCAAGGTTGTATGCAGCTGATATTTTTAAGAGCTTAGTATCAAAGGATTTAATGCTGGTCAATAGAAAAAAGTCGTTAAGATTTCTTCCTTGTCATCCAAGATGTTTCTCTTGTGTTTTATACTATCAGTCTTCAAAATTATTCTTTTTCTTTCCTTTTCTAGGAAATTCATGTATTTACAGAACCATAATATCTATGAATTAAGTAATGGTAGTACAGTAATAAATAACTGCACCTTTATGTTTTAACACTATGGTGGTCTGGCCTTAAGTTCTAAGCGATTGCTGCAGCAAGAAGATTATAAAGATTGGACACCCGGCAGGGACGGGAATGGTGGCACACCTTTCTTTACATTTGTTATTTTATTCTGGGTTACAGCTTCCTTATATGCACAGCTGTTAACTATTGACACATTGACTTGAAGACCTTTTTTGCTTGCTTGCTTTTTTATTTTGCTCTTTTGGGTAATTTTTTCAGTAGAAATCTCACAGACTTTGCCTATTTGACCACACTCTTACCTGTTCCTTGTTACACATAATAGCCAATTATAGAATGGTTGCGTTGGGAAGCATTATATCACTAAATTGACCGCATAAGTTCAGACTTGTGACTTTGTCTCTGCTAAACATTATGCTGGACCTAAATAAAAAAGTGCCAACACGGAGCTCCCAGCCATCTATCAGAGTTGTCACAGATTGAGACTCTAGTGCCACTTGCCTCCACACACAGCTATTCAGGACCAGAGGCTTTTCTGCTCATGCCTTGCACAGTTAGTATCTGTTGATCGACTTAAACAAAATTCATTAAATAACTCTGATACTCGCTGTTGGGTTCTTTGCTATTTTTTAGACTACCAGTTACCCTATGGGAAATACCTACTGTTCTCTCAAAACCTTTTTATCATAAGTTGTTACAGGAGAACTTTTGTTAACTACTTGTCTCATTATCCCAGAAAAAAATTTTTAAAACTAAGTTACTTCTCAAAATGTTAACTTACCTGAAGGTGTATTGCAGAAAATTACCCTCATACCTTTTGGATGTGATGATGAGTATACCTAAAATCTCAAATTGTTAAATACAATAGAAAATATCATGAAGGAAAGCTCTTAGAAAAATAGTAACAATATTAAAGGGTATTTGATGTTAAGGTAAGCTCTCCTGCTGCCAATAAGGCATCTTTCTTTTAATAGCCCATTTTCACCAAAACTAAATAACTTTAATCCTAATCTAAAACCATTTCTAGTCATGTTGTTATTTTTAACTTTTAATCTCATTTTTAACATGTTCTGGTAGAGATGTATGTAGGATTAAGAAGGTTATTCTTATTTCATGTTGGATTGTGTTTTTCTAAATCGCGAGTAGTGTCAAGGAAGAGTAATATGGACTTTTGTGTATTTGTACATGCATACTAGGTTCTGATAACTGGTCCAGCGGACACCCCTTATGCAAATGGCTGCTTTGAATTTGATGTATATTTTCCTCAAGATTATCCCAGTTCACCCCCTCTTGTGAATCTAGAGACAACTGGTGGTCATAGCGTGCGATTCAATCCAAACCTTTATAATGATGGCAAGGTAATGTAATTTCGGGCTTTTGTTTCTGATGCCAAAGTATTATAACCAAAGGTTCTTTGTAATTTAAGCAAAAATTTTCTTTTGGTTATCTTCTTTCCGAGAGTTCCCTGGCTTTCTTCATACTTCTCTTTCCTGTATGCAAAGATTAGCCTGAGGAATGAGAGAGAAGGAACCAAAAAGGGCAGAAACACAACAGTGTTGAGAAGCACTTAGAGTCTTAAGAAGTTACTGAGGGACTTACTCAACATATTCCTTGGCCAGTTGAGACTTTGTCCTGAGCCAAAGGTCTGTCTTCATCTCTCACCTTTCTTTACTTTCCGTATCTCCAATTCCAGTTACCTTTTCACAAGTGCCTCAGGATAGCAGAATGCCAAAAGCATGGTCCTGTCAACTCTGTATTTCTTTTTTGCATATCATCACTTTTTCTTGCTTTCATAGCTATCCATGTTTTCCATGATACATGTAATTGTGAATTTATGTTTGCCATTTAACTTATGTTAAAATGTTTTATATTTTTGGGCGCCTGGGTGGCTCAGTTGGTTAAGCGACTGCCTTCGGCTCGGGTCATGACCCCGGAGTCCTGGGATCGAGTCCCACATCGGGCTCCCTGCTTGGCAGGGAGTCTGCTTCTCCCTCTGCCCCTCCCCCCTCTCATGCTCTCTCTATCTCATTCTCTCTCTCAAATAAATAAAGTCTTTAAAAAAAAATAAAATAAAATAAAATGTTTTATATTTTTTAATAAATAGGAAGATGCATTCTGTCTGAAAAAGAAGTTGACTAAGAGGTATAAAAGCATTTCATATGACAGTAAACCTTTTAAAATTAGATTTAAAAGAACAATCATCACTTTTCAAAGTAATTTTGGATAGCTTGATGGAATTTCAACAGTGAATTCCATGCTGGAAGTATTTCATGTTTAAAAATTACTAGATGATCAGGGCGCCTGGGTGGCTCAGTTGGTTAAGCGACTGCCTTCGGCTCAGGTCATGATCCTGGAGTCCCGGGATCGAGTCCCGCATCGGGCTCCCTGCTCGGCGGGGAGTCTGCTTCTCCCTCTGACCCTCCTCCCTCTCATGCTCTCTGTATCTCATTCTCTCTGTCTCAAATAAATAAATAAAATCTTTAAAAAAAATAAAAAATAAAAATAAAAAAATAAAAAAATAAAAAAATAAAAATAAAAATTACTAGATGATCAGAAGAAATTGATAGACTTCATAAGCAGACACTTTGATGATGAGAGGAGCAAGTGCTTGAAGTTGATCTGGTTTATTAAAGGTGAACTAAGTTTTCCCTTGGTTTTGTCTTCATCATAAACTCAGATCATAAAACTGGCATTTGCTTTGTGAGTTTATTGCAGGAGATTTAATCAGAGGTAGACCTTAGTTGCTTTGGAAGAACAAAGAACGGGTCTTTTATAACTGAGCAGAGAAGACGATAGAACAATGTTGACTTTACTGAAGAGAGACTAGAATCTGAAGAGTTTAAGTGTAAAATGTTAAAATTTATTTAAGAAATTACTTCCTTAAGACTTAATGGCATAAGGGTTCCTGGGTGGCTCAGTCATTTAAACGTCGGACTCTTGGTTTCTGCTCAGATCATGATCTCAGGGTCATGAGATCGAGCCCCTCATCAGGCTCCTTACTGGGTATGGAGCCTGCTTAAGATTCTCCCTCTCCCTCTGTCCCCCTCTCTCTCCCTTTCACCAAAAAAAAAAAGAAAAAAGAAGACTTGGATTCCAGATCTCTAGGTAGGGGTAAGAATACCTGCCATTGGTAGTCACGGGGATGCTCTAAAAATGAAGTGTTTGACAGTACCTTAAGTAATGGTGTACAAAGCTGTTCAGGTACAAGTCTCTTAAAATTATTAATGACGGGCGCCTGGGTGGCTCAGCCGTTAAGCATCTGCCTTCGGCTCAGGTCATGATCCCAGGGTCTTGGGATTGAGCCCCGAGTTGGGCTCCCTGCTCTGCGGGAAGCCTGCTTCTCCCTCTTCCACTACCCCTGTTTGTGTTCCCTCTCTCACTGTGTCTCTTTCCGTCAAATAAATAAATAAAATCTTCAAAAAAAAATTATTGGGGTGCCTGGGTGGCTCAGTCGTTAAGTATCTGTCTTTAGCTCAGGTCATGATCCCAGGGTCCTGGGATCGAGCCCCGCACTGGGCTCCCTGCTCGGCGGAAGTCTGCTTCTCCCTCTCCCACTCCCTCTGTTTGTGTTCCCTCTCTCACTGTGTCTTTCTCTGTCAAATAAATAAATAAAATCTTTAAAAAAATAAAAAATATAAAAAATAAGAAAAAATTACTAATGAAATTATGTCCTAAATGAATTAGTATATTTTGCATATTGCTATCACAGAACGATTGCAGGAAGAGCAAGGAGATGGACTTCTCAGCTTTATTAAGGACCACTTATTTGCCAAGTCTGTTGCCCATTATATGAAATTGTTAGTTTACAAGTATAGATAAAATGTCCCCAGTTCTGTTTTTCCCAGAATGACCTCTTAACCTCTGTTTGGCAGATAGTTTGAGTTCATTCTTGCTGTCTGAGTGAACAAGTATCTGTGTTGTGAAGTTTGTTCTGAGGAACCCAGCAGATAGATCCTCAAGGCCCTTGCAGGGGGTCTTTGAGTCCTCCTCCTTCCAACTTCATGTTTATGTGAAGCTAGATTTTTCCATATACTTCACCTAAACAATATATTGTAACAAATTGAATGTAGAGGCAAATAGGAAATCAAGATCCCTTCTATTAAATCATATCCATTTGGAAATTTACAAAATTTTGAGAGAGATTTTTTTTTAAAGATTTTTATTTATTTATTTGAGAGAGAGAGAGCACAAGCAGGGGGAGAAGCAGACTCCCTGCTGAGCAGGGAGCCCGTTGCTGGGCTTGATCCCAGGACCATGAGATCATGACCTGAGCCGAAGGCAAACACTTAACCAACTGAGCTACCCAGGCACCCCAAGAGAGATTTTTTTTAATGTATAATGGTACTACTTTATCCCACTGAAAATTTTTTTTAAAAGGTTTGGCAAAGGGGCGCCTGGGTGGCTCAGTCATTAAATGTGTGCTTTCGGCTCAGGTCCTAATCCCAGGGTCCTGGGATCAAGCCCCACATCGGTTTCCCTGCTCAGCGGGAGGCCTGCTTCTCCCTCTCCTACTCTCCTGGCTGTGTTCCCTCTCTCGTTGTCTCTCTCTGTCAAATAAATAAAATCTTAAAAAAAAAAAGGTTTGGCAAAGAGTTATTTTTCATTATGAAGGAATTGTAATGCCATACAGATTTGGATTGCATCTGAAGATGCCAGTTTGTTCTAACAGACTGACCCTTAGTGTTTTGCTGGGGGACGTAAAACTGAGATACTGTGACATGATAGCATTTCAGTTTTGCTTCTAGTTGTGGCAGTTTGCTTTTAAAAAGCACTCAATTCTGGGGGCGCCTGGGTGGCTCAGTCGTTAAGCGTCTGCCTTCGGCTCAGGTCATGATCCCAGGGTTCTGGGATCGAGCCCCGCATCGGGCTCCCTGCTCCACGGGGAGCCTGCTTCTCC